TAATTCGAGTTCAAATTTGAAAAAATACTCGAAAAAGCAGTGTTTTCAGATATAATTGATTTTCTCGAAAACTATAATAGGTAGAATGAATCGAAAAGATGCATATGAAAGCTGAATGTTTGAGGAACGTAGCAATATTGATATATTACTGTGGTTTTAACCGTATGGCTGTAATTCGCGTTCAAATTTAACAAAATAATTATCTTATTATTTGTTTCAGTGATTTTTATTATGAAACTTTTTTTTTCTGTTGAATTTCTTTATTTAAATTAGTAGGCGTATTTTTTCACTAAATTTTGTTTAAATTAATTAAGTAGAGGTTAAGAATAATGAGTACTTTGGGTTTTCAATAAATCGCATTTATTAATTAAAAAAAATCGGTTGTCGTAAAAATTGAGAGATGGCGTTTCGGTGGTAATTGATTTAAATGCTGGCGGACCATTGTGGCCACCCCTTGATCAGGTTGTAGAAGGCGTTTCCGGGACAATCGGTGGAATCCGCTTGACGATGTCCGACCAACTTGTAGTTCTTTTGGATCTTTCCGTTCTTAACACCGAAAGCGATCAATTCCTTGACGGCCTTTTGGGCGGCGGCGTTGGGAGCGGCATCTATCAATCAAACAAACAAACAAAAATTAAACAAATTTAAGCGTTTTTTAATGATCGCGTTACTGTTGAAAGTTCCGATGACACAGATGCCGATGCTCCTGCGGTTCAACGGGACGGAATGGGCACCGTGTTTACCCCAACCTTGACCTTCGTAAACGTTACCGTCTTCACCGACCTTTTAAACAACATTGAAAAGTTATTCTTAATGCTTCATTTTTTTGTTGTTGCGCAACTTACGACAAAGTTGTAGCCGATATCGTTCCAACCGTTACCATCCATATGCCAATCTTGATAAGACTTAACTCTGGAGGTGCAGGCGGCTTTGTTGTAACAGCTCGGACTATCGCCGTGATGGATGGCGACATGGGACGGTGGATTCACAGCCAAATTGTTGGAAGCCCATTTTGGAGCTCTAGCGCCCCAACCGGCCCTCGAAATGATATTCAAGGCTTCTAAAAATCATGAAAATTAAATTTTAAAATTTCAATTTTTCGACAACTTACGGGAAACTACGATGCAGTAGATTAAGACGAGGCAGCAGAATGCGATGATGTTCGCCATATTAGCCATGGTTCTTGTTTGTTTCGAGTGAATCAACTCTGATTCGAAACCAGAAGAACGTCCGGTATTTATACTGAATTTGAAGAGGCAATTATCGATATTCGATTAGATCACTCAAAAAAAAAAAACACTAAATCAAACAAGATTGATAACACACTGTTTGCGCAAAACTTACCTGCAATTTCACAATCTTGAGTGTATAAATATAGTTTTGAATAATCTATTTTATAAATATAATTAAAAAGTGAAACTCATCAATCCACTTGAAAATAATTATATGAAATTGCAAATGTTGTCTATAGATGGCGTTTTTCTTAACTTGTCTTTTTGAACTTTAACTATGAATGAATCGTTGAAATTACTGTCTTTGTGCGTTTAATAAATGAAATAACGTAATTTGTTGTGTGAAGAATGCGAGATGATTATGTAATTACGTTTAACCGAGATGATATGAATTAATTGCAATTTCTCTCTGGATGGAAATATGATGCCGGAGATTTGCAGAAACAATTGCGCGTTGAAAGTTAACAGGAGGAGGAAAACAAAGGTTAAGCAACAATGGGTGATAGCCCCAGCGTGCAGGCAGGCAGGATTCGTCTCTGATCGTTTCGTCTCTCGGGATGGCAACAATTTAACTCGAGGAAGAGACAAAGGCGCAGTAAATCCAGCGGCAATTACAGTAATAATAATAACAATAATAATGCTAATTAGCGCACATAAATCAAGGAGGCTGTAAGCTTATCTCGTTGACGTTTGCATCGAAACGGAATTAACTTTAACTTCGTGTCACCGAATACATGAATACGAAAGTCTTCTCCGTTTTTTTTTTTCTTGTTTCAAAATTAAAACGTGTACAAAATGGGCAACAAACAACAAAAGGAAAGGAAAACTAGATGCGAGAAAGTATTTCAATGATCTCACATGCACATCCGGAAAATGAACAGCCGCCCCCCCTATGAATAATGCATGAAAATACCGTGCATATCCTGTGTCCTCTGCCCTTTCCAAACACTTCTGTCACCATTACCGTTTCCTTTTTACTATTTCTGTTTTTTTTTTTTCATCCCATTCTTTCTCTGTGTTTCACATTTTTGTTGTTTTTTTTTTTCATTAACGCGATTATTCAAATTCTCCCGCCCTCGAATTTATCGCCGCACGTAATATTCTCGCTTAATTAAACGCCGCGACACCTAGCGGCAATTTCAAATGTTTCTCTTTTTTTTTTTTGTTTTTTCGTCCATCCGCACTTTTCTTCCTCGGCGAGATTAAAACTCGTGCATTCTCTGCACGCAATAAACCGAGTTTATGTATCTCCGAAACTATCTTATATTCACGGACAATTAAATTCACTTTTACACTAATTGCTGAATACATAATCTTTATTTTTATTTAGTTGCAGTTTTGCGCAAAAATTTGGGGGGATTTTATGTCATTTGTGACATTTAACATGAACAAATAAGAAGAAATATCAAATTGGTAAACCTTAGAAAAATTAATTCCCCTAAGTTAGTAATTTATATTTATTTTTTTATGGTTCCGCCCAACACAACTGTAAATTGGGTTGCATATTAACTTAATTACTTTAAAACAGAAATCTACTCTTTCTCATCAACACAATTCATGATTAAAGCAATTATTTATAGCTTTTTCATTAAAAAAATGTATATGATAAAAATTCATCTTCTTGTCGAACTGAATGTTAATGTTCAGCGATTTCCAATTCGCTCGGAAAAGAAGCGAGATGGGAAAATGTATTTATTAACTTCGATGTCATCTCGTGCAGACGAATTTCCTTAACCGGAAAACGATCATTTCGCTTTAATAACTTCGAAATTGCATTCCTAAGTTCGCTTTGAACTCGAAAAGAAATCCAAATATAATTTATATTTTAATAATTTTCATTAAATTGTTCTAACATTTAAAAAAGAAACTGGATTTTAATTTTGCTAAGAATAAATCAGTTTTGAATGCGAATAAAAATCAGATGTATTTTTATTATTTTCTTTGGCTCGTCTCATTTTTCTCGTTTTTTTTTTTGTGGATTGAGGAGAGAAAACCGCATAAAATGCTCGTTTACTTTATGAGAGAAGAGAATAAAGCGGACGAAATAAAAATTGTCCATGGGAGGTCGTCCTGTTTGTCGACAAATCCCTGTTGAGAAATGCGGTCGGATCAAGGATGAAAGGAATATTCGTTTCGTATTGTCCTCCTACAAAATCCATAATAATCCATACAAAACTATATATTAAATTTACAGAAAATTTAGTTTATTTTATAAAAAAATCATATTTTTAGCATAATTATACTTAATTTTTTATGTAATTTAGGTGAATTGGGAAATTTACAATTTATTGAAAATGATTTGATCAATAGATTCAATATGTTTTCATGAAAATTTTTAGTTCATTTTATACAAAATTAGCAATATTTCATTTCCCAATTGATTCTTTGTATTTAAAACAAAAAAAAATCCAATAGTTTACATTACAATTAACAGTTTCAGAAAACTTTCATAATTTTCTTCTTCGTCCACTTCGTAAAACTTTTTTTTTCAAAAGCTAATCCTAAGTGGTAAAACCGTCTCTTTTCGCTCGTTAGTTATGCGACCACTGAAATTTAATTATGCCGCTTAACAAACTGAGCGAAAAGAGATTTCTTCTGCTCCCAACAGAATTTTATTTATTTTTGGTTTTATTTTGATCCTCGCTCGCCCACTTTTCCAACCGACGCACTAATTAAATTACTCTTTAGGTATTTTCAACACACACACAAAAAAGAGTAAAAACGAACGATGTTTTCTACAACTAAAGCAGGAAAGAAAACGCATCCACATTTGTTTTTACTGTAGACTAAAAAGTAAATAGTACGAAATGATATAAATCTTTGCTTATACAACCAGTTTTTACATATTGTTGAAATTAGTTCAAAAAAATAGTTTATTAGTTGTAGATTTGATAGTAAACTAGTTATATTTCTGAAAATTAATATACATAAAAGGTAACGATTCTTTAGAAATTCCTGTGGTATTTGCGGGTTAATAGAGAGAGTTGAATTACATCCACCGCGGCAATATTTGCAATTCCTTTTCCCTCTTTTCGTTTCCTTTTCTTCCTCAATAATTCCGCTAATGCATTTTTATTTGGATGCAGATTTCCGCACGCCAAACGGTTATTAAATTAAAATCGCATACGTTCTTAGCAATCTTTCATTTTTCCATTATTTTATATTTTTTTGGGTATCTTTATCCAATTTAGTTGCGTCGAGAAATCGATTCGAAATTCACCCGGTTTCATCCCCATTAATAACTCAACCGCACGAGGCGAAAGATTCTTAATAAAGTGAAATCATATTTCATTCTTTTCCCCCCACATATTATTTTTTAATACATATTTTATCTCATCCATATAAACGCGAAACTTTTTTTTACATCATTTTTTTTTGTCCATTTTCTGGTCCAAATGGAAACCTTAATGGAATACGTTTCATTTTTTTTTTTCTTATTTCATAATATTCGCATCCATTTCGCTTCATTAAAAAGTTTGTTTTTTTCTATATATAATTTTTTAAATTAGAATGAAAAATGAAAATTAATGAAATAATTAGAGTTTAAAAAAAATATAAATATTCATGTTAATTTTTTTACACAAAAGGGATAAAATAAAAATCGATAAAAAGTAATGGTTTTTCCATTGGATTGTCAATTAAACTGTCAACATCAATTCTAGTTTGTGTTGATATTGTATAAATCAAAAGCGTCCTGGTGTTTCTATTGTTTTTGTTTGTTTGTTGCGGTTGTTGTTTCTGTTGTTGTTGTTGTTTGCAGTGGAAAATGCAGATAATTAAACGAGAGCTCGAATTTATTGGGCGCGATAAATCCGTCATCGCCCAAATTCGTTTCCAATGAAATTTTATTTAAAAAAAAAAAAAAAAGTTGATTTTTCCTCCCCTATTTGCAGTTGATTTTTCTATTTTTTGTTGCCTCCCTGCGGGATTTTATGGCGGCAACCAGACGAACCCCCGCGTCGCTCCGGCGGTTTGCGTGTGAAGGATAAATGCATTAATTGCTGCGGCGTTGGTATTCACTATTCTCTGTCCCAAAAGGGCCAATTCTCTGTCTTTCTCACTCTTTCCCACTGTTTTCATAATCCTTTCACTCTTTCTCTCTCGTTCTGTGTATCCCTTAGGTAAATAGAATATAGACTCATTTGTTTCCGAAACTCGTTGCCCCAACGACCCTTTACGTTCCTTTTTTGTTTCTAACTTAACAAACGAACATAGGTCGCTCGATTAATTAGAGAGTGTACAAGTAATAGAAACATGTAACATTACGTGTAACTTTCTGTCATCTACCTTACATGAATCTAGTATATAATAATGTAATTGTTAAGTACTTTTCAAATTAATAATGAGTAATAAGATACTTGTCAAGTAAGTTGCTGTATATTACATCTGCTATATAATATGCAGTAGTAATTAATTGACAAGTACTTGTAATAATCAGTTACTTGTCAAGTTAGTGTTAGACAAATTGTAATAGATTACTGATAAAAAAAAGTATATATATATGAAGTAGTTTATATGTACTTAACTGGCATTTATGAAATTGCTTAACTACTTGCTTTAATGTAATGAACAACTTGGAAAAGTTTACTTGTATCAAGTAAAAGTAAGTTTGACGAGTATATGTAGAGATACTTTTTTTAAACAATCAACTACAAGTAATTTGATAAGTGTACTTGTAATTTACAGCTTGTATCTTAGCGTAATTTCAAAATAATCGTTTGCATCGTATATCTGTTATAAGTAGTCAAAGTCAAGTAATAAATTGGAGCTGGAAAAAAAGTGTCTTCATCTTAATATAAAAAAATGTATGGAGAAAACCACAATTCTGAAAGTAATATTATTTTGTATTTCTTCAATACAAAATAATATTACTTTCAGAATTGTGGTTTTCTCCATACATTTTTTTATAAACTGTCAAAGTTTGTCGAAATAAAACATAGTATTAATCACATGCAAATTTGTTTGCATATATTGTGAATTAAATTTTTAATTTTATGAAATTTTAGTTTTTTTTTTTCAATATAATTAAAACTAATGTTTTAACATTAATTATTGTGTTTATTTAGTTTTGGATTTATGTATAAATAATTGTAATTTAACTTTTTCCAACTTTCTTGTCTGTGCTGTAATTAAAAGCGATAAATCTTGTTTAGTTTATGAACAGTATTTTCAAAAAGTTATCTTAAATGAAGTTAGTTTATTGTAATTTGGAATTTGATCTCGTGGGCGCCGTTAAGCCGAAATTGGCATCAATTTTTAACGATCCAATCATTGCTGTTGGCGTCTTGCGCCCGGCGCATCCACCGGATTTCTCACGTATTTTTAGTGTCGAGCGTTTGTTTCGTTGGCGAGAAGCCTCGGATGCCAAGATAAAAATAACCAGATACCTTGAGTTTTGAGAGAAACAAAATTAAAAAAAAAACGCACAATGCTTTTCCTGCATCGAGTTTAAAAAGTAAATATAGAAATTTATTTTATTCTCAAGTTTTTCTGAAAGAATTCCTCATGAGGAAGTAGCAGCAGGAGAGCAGCAGGAAGAGTCCAGTCATTGAGTAAAAGATGTTCAGCATCCAGAAGGCTAAGAGATAGGCAACCCTGCTGCAGTAAGGTCCTGCGTCCTTGTCGTAATTCGGTTGGTATTCGTTGTAAACCACGTACGAACCTGAAAAAAAAACAGTTGGTATTACTGAAGTATTGAAACAATTGAAATTGTTAACGTACCGAAAATTTGCAAGGCTACATCGAATGCGACGAGCAACAATACGAAATTAAAAACGTATTTGTTTGTGGTGCTCAGCAGGACTTTGGTGAGGATACCTGTTGAACCTGTTCTGAAAAAAAACAACAATTGTAAAATTGATCAAGGAATATGTTTTGTCTTCGATTCAAAATCTACCTGCGACTATCAAGTAAATCGGAATCAGTTTGTTGATGGGACAGCTATTCAAGGTCACCCATCCGGTCACGAACATGCTCGAGAGTATCGCGTACAGGAGGACCAGAGAGGCGTTGATCACCGCTGAAAAGTGCCGGTTTATGTACACATTTCATCTGAATTTTCATCCATATTCGTTTCATTGTGTTATACGTGAAGATGTCTTCACTTTCTCCAGTCCGTCCGGTTCCGATTTCGCTTTTTCCACGGCCATCGCGATCTTTCCCTGAAGAATGAGAAGAAAGTGGAAGAAGTTGAAGAACAAACTTGCTGCGACAAACACTGTGATATAACTGTTTACGGTTTTCCGACTGGGCGACAGCAGAAGCGGACGCTCGGACCGCCATCTATTTTTAGTTTGCCAACAAAAAAATTATAAATATATCCACCGAAACGACACATCTCGTTAATTATTCGAGAATAACGCGCGCACCTTTGACTTTCAGCTAATTTTAACAGCCATTAGTGAAGAGTTTAGTTTTTTTCTCAATTGATTTCTTAAGCATCATATCGAATTTCTCATTACAACATATGAATTTTCAGTTGAATTTCTATGAAGAAAATTATCTAAATTTTTTGAAACTATATCTGAGGTCTTTCTC